TCCTGCTTCTCTCTAATTTCCACTGCACTCTATTAGTTGAATCTTCTCTTTTTATATCCATTCACTCTATTGTTTATAATCGCAAAAGCTTATTGGGTGTGTAGTGTCCAGGCCTCCAAGTTCACGCCCAAGGCCCCAGGAGACATTTACTCGAGTATTTATTATGCACGGTAAAGTGAGAACGGGGGTGATACAATCTAGGATAACGAACAACTAAAGGAGCTGTAAGCGAACTGTAAGCGAACTGTATAAGCGAACTCCAGAACGTTACAGGGTGCAATTTGACACGCATTGACTTATAAACGTATGATTGGATAAATCGAAAATTTGATTGACAAATATCTCTAACGATTCTGACGCAACAAAAAGTTTGATGACGAAATGTCACCACACAATAAAACTTTGATGGCTACATGTCGCTGTACAATCAAATTTGATTAACAGCCTTAGCGGAAAAACATCATTTGTGAGCGCATTGTTTTATTTTCTTAGAGAAATTTGCATAGATCATATTCTCGGAAAGTTTCATTTAAAACTGATAGGAAATTTTCCTTTCTTCTGAGAGTATATAAGTAGACGCATGCTTTAACTATTAGTCATTCTTAATTTGTAGAATTAATTGCAACAACGAGCCATTTAATCATGCTCTATAGTTGTCGCTATTGCCATAAAGAATTCACTCGTTCGGATAACAAAGACCGTCACGAGAGAAATTCATGTGCGAGCGCTACAACACGTGGATCTCCTTTCGTTGTGAATAATCATCCCTTCCCGCCTGGGACTGTAGATCCAATCCAGTCGTTTGATCTATCACAAAGGTGGTGTGAGGGTTTTAAATTCAAAACACCTAGCAGTATTTTAATTGTGGGGCCTTCTGGATGTGGCAAAACTTATTTCACCAAATCATTGCTGTTACAACATTTGGATGAATTGTTTGTGTCACCTCCCACGGTTCTGTCCTCGTGTACCGGTTCACAAGAGCCAATACAAAAGACCAAACAATACACAATAGCTAACCGTTAACTCCTAAACAAAGAAAGAACAATGGTAATTCCCTTGTGAACCGGTACACCAGGACAGAACCCCTCCCACTGTCATTCATTACTGTTACGGCGTCTGGCAAGATGGATATCGCGAGATGCAACGACATGGAATAAAATTTCATGAATTCACCCGGAGAAGAACAGTTAGAGCAATGGTTTTCTAAAGATGGTAGATTGTTGGTGATGGATGATCTTATGACAGAAGGAGGAAATGAGAAAGAGGTGTTGGATCTTTTCACCAAACATTCTCATCACCGCAACATTACTGTCCTTTACTTGTGTCAAGACATGTTTCCACCAGGCAAATACGCTAAAAGTATTTCCAGGAATGCTCATTACGTGGTCGCTTTCAAGAATCCGCGTGATCAACTAGGACTTAAAAATTTATTGTTGCAAGCTTTTCCGATGACATGGCAAGATATTATGCAAGTGTATTTTGAGGTCACACAACGACCATTTGGATATATCACCCTAGATTTACACCTCCGA